TTAAGGGAGTATTTGAAATGAGTTCCTGTTGATGGCATGGAACCAGAGCCCTAGGCTCCGAAATTGGAGAGGAGCAGACTGCAGCTGGGCCCAAAGCAGACCTTTCTCTCTAGCTGAACAGAGACACTGAGCTCGATCTCTACAGGTCTGTGCAGACTCCCACTGCCCTGATCTGCCCAGACTTCAGCAGCTCTTCCTCTCTACTTAGCAGCACAAGAGGCCGAGTGAAGAGAGGGGCCAGAGGCGTAGCATTCTGATTCAGAGGGTCCGTCATTTCCCTCAGGACCCACAGCTTTGTCTTCCAAAGAGTACCCAGGTGGTGCACCCCATGCGTGGAGCTTTGAGACTCCTGGAAAATGGAGTGAAAGTAATGGAGGCGGCCGGTTGCATTCTGTTCCCTCTACACACTTCTCCCTAATGTACTCTCCCCACTTTCCCTCATGGAAATACTGAGTTTGTCCTAAACGGCTATCTTTGGCTTGGACAGAGAATTGGCCTATTTCAGCTTTCTGGGTTACTCTCTGGACCCTGTAGTCCAGGCTCCTCACACTCACTCACTCACCTTGCTTAACATTTTTGGTACCATTGGCTTTCCTCCCCCATTTTATTGTGGGTGTTCCCTTTTTTTTTCCCCCTCTTAGATCTTCAATCTCAGATGAAGCAGTTGGTGAATTTTAGTCTTTGCAGAAGTTAACTATTTATTATTAGTCAGTGTCTTTGTTTTGCTGACCAAGCTCACTTTTCCTCAGTGAATTAAGATGACCTTCATCTCTAATGAATATGTCAGGTGTGTGTATCATGCACACATTGTGGCAGAATGNCAGTGAATTAAGATGACCTTCATCTCTAATGAATGTGTCAGGTGTGTGTATCATGCACACATTGTGGCAGAATGGTGTGAGGAATGTCATGTGCTTTGTGTGTATAAATTCTTTAATGTGTGACTGATCTGTTGTTTGCACATTTGAATATGGGATAGTTTTGTGTGTGTGAGAGTGGTATTTGTGCTTTGTGTCTGTGTTTTAGGTCAGCACGTATCTATGTGTGCAGACTGTGTGTCCTACGATTATGCATTTGTGTGCGTGTTTCACATGTTAGGTGGCTTAGTTGTGCAACAGGATTATTGGGAGTATTCTCTTTGAGACTAGTGTAAGGTAACAGTGAAAGTGCAGAAGGATCTGAAAAATCAATGGCTGTAAGGGAAAGAATATATGAGTTTTCAATATAGAACTGTTTGAAGATCCAAAGTAAATGAGGGCACAGGACAGAGAGTGCAAGAATAAATGTAGAGTAGCATGTGATTGATTGCTTTACAAAGTAAAATCTTGAAAGATTGAGGTTTAAGGCATTGGGATGGAATATGAACACTAAAGCCTAGCCCTCTGACTCTGAGGCATTCACCAATTAGAAATATGTCCATATAGCAAAATACATGTAATAGAATTTTCAGAGTACCCCCAGATTGAAAGTACCCAAAATGCTCATAAAGTATAATTAATAAAGACAGTATTTATATGCAGAAGGATGAAGGGACTACAGTCACATATATCATGGATGATTATTACAAACACAAGTACAGAGAGTGAAAAGAAGTTGACACAAAGCATGTACTGTGCACTTGTGTTCACGTAACATTAAAACACAGGGACAACTAGTGCAGCACTTTTGTATGGTTGGGACAAAAGCAGAGTAGAGAACTCAGATGCATGTGGAAGATGACAAGGAAGTAAAAGATGAGGATAGCGGGGTGCAGATGGGTCTGTATAGGGTTGAACTTGCGAACATCGGCTATGAAAAGATACTGCTGTGCTGGGGTCTCGGACCAGGTATGCCTCTACTCAGGTCAGGACCTAAGGATCCTACCGTGTTGGGCCTGCTTTAGGCTGTTAGTGCTGTCACACCTTCCTGGTAATATAACCTGTCCTTGCCCAGCTCATACTGACATGTTCTTCCATGTTCCTCTGATAGAACTCATCCCCTTAGGCCCTCTTGCACCATTTCTTCAAATAACTCACTGCCCTCCCCTTGTCTCCTTGGGCTCGCTCCAATCCTTCGAAGTATTTTCCCTTGGGATTTACTATTTCCAATGGGGATTATATTAATGAAGATGGAGAAGCATTTTGAGTTTCTTTCTGTACTGGGCAGCCTTGTACTGACTGATGAGCAGAATCACTCAGCTCATCTCTGGGCTCTGCCTAGGTCCCCACTGTCTATTGCATCCCATTCAGTAGTCCCTTCTTACCAGGGCCAGGAAGCTTTTCCATTGCTTTGTGGCCTTGGTTTGGGGCCACTGTCCTGTGTCCATGCTGTAGAGCTGCTTTTGTAGAAAAATTAAATAAAAATGATAGATGTGGTCCGTGCTTGGTGTTTGTGTATTTATCCATCCATTAAATAAAGAATAAGAGTCTGGTATGTAATGTCTTCAGTGAACCCAGAGAGCCTCCATTTATGTGGATAGCATAATACCATTTTCCTTTGAAATTTTGAAATGTGTGGTAATATTGGTTGTTCCATCTATAGAACATGAGTGACTGGATTTCACAAAGTGTGTCTTTATAAATGGAACAGAGATACGTAGCTCGCTCTAATGAGGGAGGTAAACAACTTACCTGTGTGAAAGGGTGTACATTATTTATGGGTTAATGTGTAGACAGCAGAGTCTGAGAGTGATTGTGTGAGTAGAGAAGGTGGAAGTGTGTATTTGTGTAACGCTCGTAGAGAATGGGAAGGACGCATCTGGAATGAAGGCATGTGCATATGAGAGAAAACGTGACAGGAAAGGATAATGGGGCTATATCTGGTATGAAGGAATATAGTGTGTGTGTGTGTGTGTGAGTGAGTTTGTGGTGATCTGAGGGAAGAGGTTGTAACTGAATTCCCACACTTATCAGCACAGCCCACTATCTCACTCACAGCTGTCCCAGTGTTCACATGGGGAACTGTCCTGTCCTTGAAAGCACACCCCCAATTTGTCCCTCTGCAGAGGCTTCAGTCTTAGTTCCTCTGCCCTGAAGCCCTTTCCTGTTTTTGAAGGGAAAGTGATGTAAGTAGGGATTGGGCTGAGCTACGCCAGCTATTCATCCTGTCCAGCCTTTGTGATCTCCCTTACCGTCCTCAGCAGCAGCAGGAAGCTTTCCTGGGGCAGACGCACGGGAGAAACACTCTGAGACAGAGGACTCTTCTCCTGGTGTCTGACTGCGGTCTGGGACCACACGTGACTCCAGCTGAGGAGAATCCCATTGAGTCTTCTCGAATTCTGAGGAACGAATGCAAAAAAACAGATGGAGATTTTCTGGGATCTGTATTCATTCAGAAAAGACATGTTGAGTGGACAATCATGTTAGGCATTGCATCCCATCCCCCATGAAATCAAGCATTTGAAACTTCACTTGCTCCAAAATACAAGGGAACAGCAATTATGAAAATTGTATGTAGATGTCAGTGATACTGGGTATCTTGTATGTGACATTTCTAAAGATGTATACAGAATATCACAAATTAGTGAGTAAAATTGGGTACTAGCTGCTTTTTAAGGACATGGGGTACAAGTTTTAAAAGACTTCTGCATGTCTTCCTGCCTGCCTGCCTGTCTTGATTGGTATCTACATTGATGTATGGAAAGATAGGGATGTCAATATAAATATAGAGAGGGCTAGAGATACAGCATTTTCGCAGGGAATTCCTGGGCAGCAGCCATGGTGCTGGAGATGCTCTAATGAAGACTTTACACACTTGCCCCAGACTCCTCTTCTGGGAATGTATTTCTGTATTTCTCCAAGACTCTCAGACTCCCTATTCAGATCTTTTGAAAACCTCTTTCAAAGGAGGCAGACACACCCACATGATACATTTCTGCCTGGGGATTGGAAACTTACACCCCGGGCAGTTCTTGGGCTAGGGGTCATTTATGGCCCCTGCTAAGGGAAGGGTCTCAGTTCTGAGCCCAGGCCATCGCGTTGCCCCGTCTCCCCACCTGGCTCCTCCTCAGCCCCTTCTCGCTCTCAGCCCACACTACAGTGACTCAGACTGTGTCCAGCAGAGGTGGGGCAGTGGAGTGTGTGCCAGGCTGGGGAGCATGAGCTGCCAGTGACTGCAAGGAAGAAAAGCCTTTCTCCCAACCTGCCCTCTTCCTGGACTTGTCTTGGTTTCACTGGTTCCAGAGGGGACCGAGGCCCTGGGCCTGGAACGCCTTTCCTCTGGAGCTACAGTATTTCTGACCATGTGAGTAAGTTTTCTGCAGTGGGAAATGAGTGGCAAGGACACGTGCCCCAAACAGGCATAGGCATGAAGTCCTCCTCTGTGCCCTGCCATGTTCTTCCCTTTTCTAGCTAACTGGCATGTTGATAACCTGGGGTCTATTTGAAAGGTGAGTTTTAATGATAAAAAGTTACTATCAGCTGGGAGACTTGCCCTAATCCCTCACATACACTAATTATTACATAAGAAGTAGATAAGTTCCTTCATGTATTAGTTACTCAGTCGTAATCTAGTCCAACTAATGAATCGAGTTTTGAGAAGCAAATAATTGGACCTGGTACATATTAAGCAAGCCATTATATTAGAAACTACTCTGTGTCTTCCCATGGCTTATTTATGCTGTATAAGCCAAGGGAAGGCACAGAGTCACCTCACAGTCACTACAACTATTTCAGTTTACCGTTTTTCCAGAAAGAGCCAAACTTTCTTAATTCAACTATGGTGCTTAAACGGTGTGTGTGTGTGTGTGTGTATCGTGCTCGTGTTTTTCTTTCATAAATGAGTCATATTTACATGTCTATATTCTGAGATAAAGAAAGATAGGTCTCAATGTCTAAGACAATCTAAGAAATCAATTCATACTCTATGACTTTATACTCTTATCCCTGCACCTCCAATTTTAGGCACTCAAACTTTTTTTGCCAATTTTTCATTTACCTCTTTGAGCCACACTTTCTTCATTAACTGGAAAAAGTACTATTGGAAAACTTGTAACATTGTAAAAAATGAAATAAAGGAAAATACATTATAGAAGAAAAATTCTACTACGCGATCATTGCATCTGTGATACAGTAGTCCAGAGCGGCATGATGTAGGGAACACAGGTCCTACACCACAGACACAGGGACCTAGAGGAACCTCCTCTCGACCCTCAGATTATCTGATCCCTTAGAAAGACCTGCGCACCCACACCTTTTCCTCCCTCCCACCTTCCTGCCCTCTCTCTCTCCCATAAGTAGGAATCCTCGCTCCCTTTCTTTAGAAGACGGTTTCTAGATCTGCAATGCTCAGAGAATATCACTGACACACACCTCCTGACATCCTGACAACTTTGGGGGAATGTGTGGTTTCAAAATATTTCCTTTTTCGTTTGTGCTTCATGGCTGAACACTTCAGAGATTGACTTAAAGTCAGGTGCCTTCCTCCCTGGAACTCTGTTGCCAGAAGTTCAAGTGATGACAGCCAAGAATCAAGTCAGTATCTAATATTCAAGAACAAGCGACTGAAGAGGCTCTCTCCTCACCCATTCACTCACTCAGTGGCCCGGCCCGTGCTTAAATACACCAGTAGAGCCATTATGATGCAAGTCAGACAGGGTTCCTTAGCATTCTGACACGTGCATCAGGGCAGACCACTGATGGGGGGGGGATCCCTTTTACCCAACACAAACTCTACCATCAACTTGAATTTTTATCTTGGACATCATATCAAAACTTGACAACCAATGATATGGATTATGCAAAAGACAGTCACTTTATGTATCTAGGGTAACCACATTACTACATCTCCCCAAGGGTGAGGATAAGGCATTACCTGAGAGAAAAAAGCTTAGACCCATGCCTGCCCCATAGAACATGCTTAAGTGCCCTATATTCGCAGTACCATAAAACTTATGCACACATATAAGGCTCCCCAGAACCTTCAGGGAAAGAGGATGCCCCTGAAGAATAGAATGTTCAGAATATCACCTTTTAGAGTAGTCCCAGATTGAAAGTAACCCAAATGCTCGTACAAGTATAATCAATAATGACCCTATTTATATGCCAAGAATGAACGAACTATAGTCACATGTAACATGGAAGATTACAAACACAAGTACAGAGAGTGAAAAGGAGGTGATGCAAAGCAGGTATTGTGCACTCTGGTTTACATGACATTAACACAGGGACAACTAATGCAGCACTTTTGTATGGTTGGAACAAAGAATAGAGAACTCAGATGCATGTGGAAGATGACAAGGAAGTTAAAGATGAGGATTGCGGGTGCAGATGGGTCTGTATAGGGTTGAACTTGAGAACATTGGCTATGAAAAGATACTGCTGTGCTGGGGTCTCAGACCACGTATGTCTATACTCAGATCAGGACCTGAGGATCCTACCGTGTTGGGCCTGTTTTAGGCTATTAGCGCTGTCACACCTTCCTGGTAGTATAACCTGTCCTTGCCCAGTTCACAGTTCATACCAACATGTTCTTCCATGTTTCTCCTTCACCATTTCTTCAAATAACTCACTGCCCTCTGCTTGTCTCCTTGGGCTCGCTCCAATCCTAAGTATTTTCCCTTGGAATTTACTACTTCCACTGGGGATTATATTAACGAAGATGGAGAAGCATTTTGAGTTTCTGTACTGGGCAGCCTTGTGCTGACTGATGAGCACAATCACTCGGCTCATCTCTGGGCTCTGCCTAGATCCCCACTGTCCTTTGCATCCCATTCAATAGTCCCTTCTACCAGCACCAGCAAGCCTGTCCTCACAAGGGATGCAGGGGAGCCACTCTGAAGCAGAAGCAGCTTCCATTGCTTTCTGGCCTTAGGTTGGGGCCCCTGTCCTGTGTCCATGCTGTAGAGCTGCTTTTGTGGAAAAATTAAATTAAAATGATAGATGTGTTCTGTGCTTGGTGTTTGTGTATTTATCCATCCATTAAATAAACAAGAGTCTGCTATGTAATGTCTTTAGTGATTCCAGATAGCCTCATTAACGTGGGTAGCATAGCATGGTTTTCCTTTGAAAATTTTAAATGTGTGGTAATACTGGTTGTGCCACTATAGATCATAAGTGACTGGATTTTCACAAGGTGTGTCTTTATAAATGGAATAGAGATTCGTAGCTAGCTCTAATGAGGAAGGTGAAACAAGTTGTCTGTGTGAAAGGGTGTACATTATTTATGGGTTAGTGTGTAGACACCAGAGTTTGAGAATGATTGTGTGAGTAGGGAAGGTGGAAGTGTGTATCTGTAATGCTCGTAGAGAATGGGAAGGATGCATCTGGAATGAAGTCATGTGCATGTGAGAGGAAAAGTGAAAGGAAGGAATAGGGGGGCTACAGCTGGAATGAAGGAATCTAGGGTGTGTGTTGGGAGGGGGGGTTGTGCTGATCTGACGGAA